ATTGGATTAACCTTGAGCGGCGTTTTTATTCCGGTGAACACAACTTTTGATCACAAATCAAAAAAGGTAAGACGTAATTATTGCAATATTTTTCTTAAGAGGTTAATGGATCATTATTGTTGACATGCATATGTTAGCGTTACTTTAATTTGTCTTTAGTCAGAGTGGAGCACATTTTTCTACTCACCATATGCTTTTGGTAATTCATTCTGTGATACTGGATCATATTGGTATAAACTCTTGCACCATATGTTCCATTTTATATCAAAAGTTCAATATTTCGTTCTGTAATTTAGTGAATTAAAAGCTTTAAAGTATTAACTCATGAATGCTTAAGTGCTATTGTTGCGTAAATTGAGCCTTATTAGTTACCTTTCACCACTGATAAAAAGTAAATCGAGTACAAAGTAGAAAATTATCAGCAGGACTGTACCATAGTCCATACTGCAGTGTTGTAGGGCTATCCCGAATTCCGTTTTTCGGGCTCCGGATATTCGGTAGTAGCTAATCAGCAGCGAATATTCAGCGCACGCTTCAACACGTGTATTTCGGTTTATTCAAGGCATTCATTTTGTTATTCTACAGTATTGTTGTTTTATAGTTATTTGTTAATGTATAAAACCCAATTTGTGTTCTTTGAAATTGAAAGGATATTGCATTGTGTGTTACTTTCTTTGCAGTTGTATGTCTTAAGTGTAATTTGGCTTGGCTTCCTATTTTGTATGGACATGCTTTTATTATGAAGGAGAGTTAGCGCTGTTGACAGGAAGTTGTTGTTGCTATGAAAACAACGTGACGGAGAAAAGGAGCGGAGATTAACGGAGAAAAGTAATATCTACATATAAAGACGGAGAAAGTAAACGATAAAGTTTATGGTTAAGTGTTGGCACCCCCCGAAGAGGCACAAGCTCTTACGTTGATAGTGGAGATTTCAATAAATTCAATTTGGTGACCGATATTCGGGTACAGCCCTACAGTGTTGTAGTCAAGTCACCAATTCCGGGCATCCGAGTCGCTCTCCAGTCCCTACTCTTCGATTCCGAGTCCCCTAGGATGAGTCTCAGGCCCCGTCCACACAGAGACTAAACCGATTTCTAACCGAAGTCGATTTAAAAAAAGTCTTCCATCCACACGGAATCGGCTCAAATGTGTACGTCCAAACGAATCCGCTGGAGACAGATATGCTGAGCCTGTAAGTGGCGCTGTACTTCCGCCACAAAATACACCAAAAGCAGCGAATAAGACCCCCCGAGCATGGGCATAAGGCATAAACAAACAAACAAGGTAGAAGATGGCGGTTATTCGTGCAAGAAGGGAGGCATTTGTGTGGACTGACGACCCTGTGATCCGCCATTGTTGTTGATGTTGTTGGCGAAACGCATCAGCAATGATGCGGGGGTGAGCAGGAGAGGTGGGGAGAGGCGGGGCTATGGCGTCATTGTTTCAGGAAATGAGCGTTTAGTCTCCAGGCCTGTGTGGACGGGCAATTATAGGTTACTTTTGCCTCTGATGCTGAAACTGATGTAGATGTAGCTTTTATATATTTGTTAACTATTGTATTGCTTCGTATTAAAATGATCATTATCAAATACCTAAAGTACCTCAATCTGTGGCTAAGATTACTTTCTCATAGCAGGGTGACGGCAGCTACAGCCTCTCTACTACATGTGCTCTTAGTTCAGTAGTAGGACAGAGACTAAAAAGACAGTGAGGTCACAGGTCATTTATACTGGGGACATGTCCCCACCACCTTGCATTAGGATATTTGTAAAAAATATTCTGAAAATAGTGTGCACAAAGAATTGTACACTTTGAGAAGGTTTATTTGCACAATAGAACATCTGGAGGAACAGAGACCACGTTGGATATTATAGTAATAATTGAATCGAGAATAGCTTTGCAGCAGAATACCATAGTCAAAAAAAGTATTGTAAGCAACAAGCATATGATGTATGTATGTGTTTGCGGGGGCTCAATGCACTAGTGTTTTTTTTAATCTGAAAAAAGTGTCCCCACCAGTTTAAAAAAAAAAAAAGTTGTTAAAAGGCTGTTGTGCTGCCAGTGTACACAGACATGTAGATTGAAGCTGAATACTGTACATGTGCTCTCTCACAGCTGAGGTAAAGAACCACAATGTGCTGGCTGCTGTTTGACTTGAATGTGTGTGTTAGGGCTCATCACAAGGAGTCTAAAACTCAAAGCAGGTTCATAACCTCTGTCTGATGCTCTAACCAGGCGAAACCTTCTGTCTTCTGTGTCTTTCTTATTCTGAGTAAACTTGTTTCCAATTAATATCCCTCAGAAAACTGTGCTGAAATGCTTTAAAAGACGATGTGGAATGTGAACAGCCAGACAAAGTCGGAAGATTAACTGCTGACCCAGCTGAAAACTATTTAGGAACGCTTTTGATGCAGACGCGTTGTTTGAATCATAAAAGAGAGAATCACAATTCATCAAAGAATTTACCCCGCCTTATTAAACCTGTTTCTCCTTAGTGGTAGAACATTGACTTATTCCATTGCACTGTGTAGCTCAGGGACAAGATGCAGTTGTCATGCACCATTTTTTTTTTAAAAATAAAAAAAATAAAAAAATGTGTTCTCTGTTAAAAAACGACCATCACCTGTGTGTTTATCTGAATTTTCTCCAGGCGAGAGTCTGAGAGGAGGAATCATTCTCTGGCCCGTCACGCAGACATCCTGGCTGCCGTGGAGACGCGCCTGTCTCTGCTCAACATGACTTTCATGAAATACGTGGACTCCAATCTCTGCTGCTTCATCCCTGGAAAGGTGAGCTGCCTCTGCTGCTCTCCACTGCAGCAGCAGGAGTCTTCCTCACAGAGGAGAGCAAGAAGCTCACACTCATCTGTTTTGATTTGTGCCACGATGTGATTTCTTAGTTTCTCGAGCTGTCCACAGGAGAGGCTCTGAGGTCCTCAGTCCTCTCCTGGTGTACTATCTTATCTGCTGTGTCGTGTGTCTTTGTTTTTTTAGGTAATAGATGAGATTTACCGCGTGCTGCGCTACGTGAACTCCACTCGAGCCCCCCAGCGGGCTCATGAGGTCCTGCAGGAGTTGAGGGATATCTCCTCCATGGCCATGGAGTACTTTGATGAGAAGATTGTCCCAATCCTGAAGAAGAAGCTGCCGGGGGCCGACCTGTCCGGGCGCCTCATTGGCTCCACACCAGGTAGTTGACACGTGTTTCTGTGGGCACTAAGAACGAGAGTTCAAAAGAAAAGTCACCAAAAGCAGCTCTCATGGGGGCCCAAGCCTCACTGTGAGGTGTTGAATATTCACATAATGTCTGTCCTTTCAGCACTGAGGCTTATTTTCACATAAAAAATAAATAGTCTTTTGTGGCAAAAAGGTTACAGGCAAAAAACAGTGAGTCTCTGTTTGTGGAAGGGTTATCCCACTTTAATTTCCCATCTAAAAGACTATTAATGTCTGCTGGCATGTGACTCATCAATCATTGAAACATCAGTGTGTTCTGTTTGTTCAACCTTGTGTCCGACTGTTGCTGTTGAGGTGGCTTTTTTTGCATTAGCTCCAACTGTTAATTTATCAGACGTACTGTATATTCAATCACAATTATTGGATTATTTTGTTCAAGAAATGGTTGTGTTTTATGCTTCCCCAGTGTGATGCTTTATGTTGCTGTTTATATCATGCTACATCAATGGCTATACAAAAGTAGACATTTGATAATTCACACAGATTGTATTTATTTTTAAATTCCTTAATTGAAAAAAATACCTGACTGATTAATCTATACAAAAACAGTTTTTTAGTTTCAGTTTAGGCACATTCTTCAAGACAAAATGTTTTGCATTTTCCTTCTACCCTGCAGCGTCTCTTATTGCGTGTGTAGCAGTTTGTAGTGAAGACCCCTGACCCTCTGTCCTGTTCCTCCAGTGGCCGGACCCTCCACCTCTCTGACCACCATGTCCCTGCTGGCCAAGAACACGCCGTCGCGCTCTGAGATGACCAAGGTGCAGCAGCAGGTGAAGGTGAACGGGACATCCATGACGGTGCTGCGGCGGGAGATGACGGAGATCCGGGTGAAGCAGCTGGAGCAGCAGAAGCAGCTGCAGGACCAGGAGCAGAAGCTGCAGGAGCAGACGCAGGTGATCGGGGAGCAGAACGCCCGGCTGGCCGAGCTGGAGCACAAGCTCCGCGAGCTGATGGACAGCAGTGCTGCTGCCATGGGGGGGGCGGCCCCCTCCACCTCCAGCAGCGCCGCCGTGTCCTCTGCTGCGGCCGCCACGTCTGCTGGGGGGTCGGCAAGTAGCAGTGGGTCCACAGGGCATGAGGGCGAGGGGGGGGAATCACTCAAACGCAGCAGAAAGAGCTCAGAGCGCCCCCGACAGTCCAAACGGCTACGCAGCAAGAAATAACACTGACTGATGACACCTCTCCCCAAATCCCTCGCGTCAGCCCCCCCCAACACATGACCTGTTCTGTCTGTGAGGTGAGTTGGGAGTATCGCTCTTCGCTTTATCCCCCACTAATAAGCAGGTGGCCTTCGCTGCTTAGACTATTTATTGAAGGTTACATTAAAATGACTGTATAGCTTTTTTTTAATGTAGAAGCTTTTATAAGAGGCCTATATGTTTGCAAAAATGTGGCATGGCTTAACAGGAACTCAGATGGTCGGTATTTTTGGTTCACATTGTATATTAATGTAGTTTCTGAAATAAAATCTACCAAGAGATATTATTTTGGAAACCTGCACAATTAAATATCAGATATCAGAATACAATTACGGACTCATAACAGTCCTTACATTTCAAGTTTAATTACCATAACCTACAAAATAAACCAAATATAATGTTGCATGTTTTGGGTTATCAATTAGCTCCTCTCCATTGCCACATGGGCAGGAGCTATAAATCAATAGACACTTTTTATATTCACATCCGCCCCTTCCTAGCTGTGGCTAAGTTGCAGTGGCTCGGGTGGTTGGCTGCTCAGACCCTTTAATTTCAGTCTGGTCCATTTTTGAATCACCAAAAAAAGGAAGGCTGGGTCAGACTCAGCTGTTGAAAAAAGTGATTTGTTAAAAAGGTTTCCAGCTTGTCAGACCGCTGCGGCCCTGACGTGCCTGGTGTTCATGCTTTTGTTTTATTCATGGCTAAAACATGATGTGCATCTGTTCCTTTATGATCATACTAGTGCTTCACGCAGCCTATTTAATGCAAATAATACACGGACATCATTTCACTGCAGAACGCTCTGCTCCTGGAAACATATTTGATTATCGCCAAACATATTTTTCAAAATAAGAGAAATAGTAGTTAAACAATCGTGCATTATTTCATACATTGACATGTTCAGTCTGAAAACTCACTCTACTCTCACTTCAGCAGAGTCTGATAAGATGAATTGCTTTTGGTGTTTCTAGAAACAGTAACTATGTTGGAAGTCAGCACCGTACTGCACACTACATACTGATCTGTATATACTGAGTTAACCAGTATGCTATCACCAGCTGTCAACAAGATTGATAGTTTACACTGAAGTATCAAGCAATATGTTTTCTCTGCATAACAGACTGCATGGCTGTTTAGATCACATGACCGCAGGTCCACATCACTTTAGCCTACATGACCATCGATTGTAATGTCACTGGTCCGTGCCACCATGGAATGAAAAATAAAACGATTATTGTTTAATACTGTAGCTCTTAATCGTACCATCAACCATCATGCCTGATTATTTTATCCAACAGTGCAATAATTGAACCATCTGCCTGCAGTCTGAAGAGCCGCAATGCATTGTGGGGCAGTTGATTATGTTGTGTAAGCTCTCTTCTCATGTTCTGATGTTTGTATACACATACAGGCATTTGTCACAAAAACATAGCCACATGCTAAAGCATCTGGAGCATACTACATACTCTACATGACATCACTTAGTGCGCAGGATGTTGATATGCAGTGATGTTTTACAGAAACAGCTGTGGCACTATTTAGACTCACACACTGGCTAATTATTTGTAGTAGATGGGTGGAATCACACAGCATGGTCCTAAAGGAAATGATGCAAAATAAAAGAAGTCTACTCTACATGTGATGGCATTCTAAGGGTATGTTCATCCAAATGATACATCTTCTCACTTCCTCTAGAGATATGTCTCCAAGACATCTGCCCCAATCCCAAAACAAGGAAGGAAAGCTAACATGCCTGGACAGAGGGAAGTTATAAATGACATTTTTAAACCTTGAAAGTTTGTCAATTTTTTTCTTTTAAATGTTGCAACTTACTTTGACAGTGAGGTTAAGATGGTCCCTTTCTGATGAGGGAACTATGATGATTGTGAGCAGTCTGCAGTGACAGAAGGGGAGGGGGGGGGAGGACTTCTGGCCCCCCGCCCCACCTCTTGCCTTGGAGGCCAGGTTAGGTCTGAGCCCGTATTGTGGCTGCACTTTTGTTCTCTGTGTAGAGCTCTTCTGTTGTGTGGAGAAAATGAACATTTGGTAAAGAAACTTTGGAGATGCAGTTCATGTCCTTGTGAACACTAGCGTCTATTACAATGTCACTGGGCAGAAACACATAATTTAGTGGCTTAATTTGAGACTGCGTCTCAGTTTAGAAAACTGTACTCTAATTTCCATGTACTTTAAGTCTAGATTGTGATTATTTCATGTATGTATACCAAGTTGGCTAACTTGGGGCTAACTGCAGTTTTGTTTTCACACATTGCTGTTACAAATGTACCCATCAAACCTATTAAAAACTCAACATGACTCACCCTCTGTTTAAACCCACCACACTGTTTTTACAGGCAATGTTCACCCACCTCAGCCACTACACAGGTTCATTTATATCAGCCCTTAGAATATGTGCATTCTAACATTTAAGCCTTAAAAGGGTTCTCTATTATTTTGTCTTGAGATACACATTAACAAACACAAATAACCCACCATGACAGTACAGTACTGGTGCTGTACTTGAGCTCAATACTTATGCTGGTGCTAAGCAGGTCACTGGCAGACTGATGCTAATGCTAACATTAGCAGTTAACAATCACAGCTGAGGTAGAAGCAGACACACAGCAGAGAGGAGGCGTCTGCAGATTTGGTGAACATTCTCTTTGGATTTATCCTTCCCATTCAAGACAATATTTTACATATTGCAGAAAGTGGCACAAATACACATATTAAAGACAGGCCTGACCTGTTAAGTGGAGAGGATTTTTATTGATGTATTGTGAACGCAATGCTGCGCAAGTGTGGGTCTGCCTCACACAGGGTGACTGGCTCAACATGCTGTGGCCTGCCCACATGACCACTGTCATACCGATCATACATCCAAGCTCTCGATTGATCTCTGTGGGGAGGAGCTGTTTCAACAACAATCGTTGCCCCCGGACCGCCCTAGAGGATATGAGGCCCACCCCCACTTAAAACATGGATAGTTTCCCAAATAAATGTGCACACTTTATAAAATAGTAACCTACTGTATACTGTATGTTCATATGTATCTATTTGGGTAGTAGATTTAAACTATAGTGCTATCACTATACGCAGCAACGCTGTAAATATTAAAGATACATCCAGCAAAACGCCAAAAACAAAAACTGGTAGTGGCCTGGCTGGGTGTATAATTCCCGGCCTAACTTATTGTCCCAGTCTGGCCCTGGTTACAACACATCACTAAAAAGCAATCCGCCCAACAGCTATGAGTTCAGGGCGCACCA